TCCATATTTTATTACTTTTTCCAATTTCTCCTAAAACTCCGCGCATGGAGAAATGGATAAAGTATTTTAAAACGGAGAGAGTATTAGTTTTAAGGAATCTTTAATTTTTTTAATTCCCATGCAAAATGAGAAATAGGCATGTAATAAAGGAACACAGGAAGTAGTTTGTTTTGTTTTTGTTGCTTTTGGCTTTGGCTTGCTAGTTTTTCCTTGTTTTTGGGCTTGTCCCTCGTGTTCCCCAAAAAAAATAAAAAAAAAATCATCACATGATTAATGAGTGCTTTCCCATAATAATGTTCCAACTATTAGCAATTCCATAAATACAGCTACAATTTTACTATTTCCCAATCTACTGTCCACGTCACTATTTAGTATAATTTATTATTTTTTTAAAAGTTTAACCCAAAACCGCCAACTCAAGTGGCGGTTTTCAATGTATATGAAAAAAAATTACAAAGTAGTTTTTAGAAAATGAGTACAGAAGAATAATATTGTAATCCATCTTCAATGATTCATTCCCTTTATAAAAATTCTAAGGTAACGAACAACATGAAGAAAATGAAATTGAGGCAAAATTACTTAAACTCCTCCAAATCAAACACAAAAAATGAAAAACAAAATCAAATCTTAATTTAATTAGTGAAAAAAATAACAAAGTAATCTGATTTTAGAGAGAGAAGGGGAAGAACAAGAGAGAGAAGGGGATGAACATGAGAGAGAGCAGAGAAGTTGTTCGACCAATTGGTGTTAGATTTTAGCTTCTCAGTGCTAAAACCCGATAACCTCGCCGCACCAAGGTGTTAGACCACCTCCATCCGCCGCGTAACTCGCTGAAACTTCGTCCCACCACCAATTCAGTGTTTCGTACCTCCACATTGTCAATAAGATGTTTTTACCCCAGGAAGCTTTAATTATCCATGCCCAAAAATTCCACCCACAAACTTGATTTAATTTGTAGATGATGTGAAATTGAAAATAAAATTTGAAGATTGAATGAGAGTAGTTTGAGAGGGGATAATGGCAATGGTTCTCCTTGGTTATAACGACATAATTAGAGAAAGAAAGAAAAAGAAGTCAGAATGAAAAGCTTTAATTTTTTTTAAAAAAAATAATAGGTGGAAATGAAAACCGCTACTTGAGATAGCGGTTTCATACAAAAAATTAAAAAAAATAATTTAATTAAGTTGCTGATGTGGACAGTAGATTGAGAATATTATAAAAAGTAGTTGTATTTGTGGAATTGTAAATTTTCCCAACAATATTAAGGGAAAGCACTCATAATTAATAGTAAAATTTTTAATTTACCACCCAAAAATATACCTAATTTCTAACTTACCACCCAAAAAAAATTTATTTTAAATTACCACCCAATAATTTAATTATTCACTCAGATTACCACCCAATTTGAATTTCCGGTGGAATTTAGTCACGTGGGCCCCGCTATAGTTACTTCCCTTCAATTTTTTTTCTTTTTGTTCGACTTCTTTCTCTTTTCTATTCAATTCTCTCTACCAACTCCATTTCTTATTCATTTTTAGACCTTAATTCACACAAAAATCCCCTTTTCTTCTTAATTCTCAACATATCATCACATTGGAACCCTAATTTTGGTTTTAAAAATCTAATTGTTCTGCAAAATTTTAATTCGAGGGTAGCTGGGTTTACTGGGAAAGTTACGCTGAAGAAAAGTCAGCATCTTGGAGGATTTTGTTGGGGACTAGCTGCTAAGGCAGTCAGAAGGCTTTAGAGTACTGCTTAGCCCTAATTAATTCCCCCAATTAAATTGACAACAATTTCCCCCAATTTAATTCAGACAAGAACCCTAATTTTTACATATTAAAAGGTTACCTGAAGCGAATTGATTTGATGTCGCAAATTAGGGCTGCTACTGCTGTTACAATTCACCTCCAATTTGTGGAATTTCTGATGAAATTTAACATGGGATGACAATTTCAGTTAGGGGAAGTGTTTTATAGGAAGAATCGGGGAGGGAAAACAGTTAGAAAGAAAAAAAATAGTCGTTTATAGCTGTTGACTGGGGCCCACGTGACTAAATTCCACCGAAAATTCAAATTGGGTGGTAATCTGAGTGAATAATTAAATTATTGGGTGGTAATTTAAAATAAAAAAAAATTAGGTGGTAAGTTAGAAATTAGGTCTATTTTTGGGTGGTAAATTAAAAATTTTCCTAATTAATATGGGAGGAACTGAGGGAGTAGTGGAGCACTAGACTCGTAGTAACGTTCGCTATTGACGAGTAGTAATCCACCAATTTTTAAAATTTGAACAAAATCTCAATTTCTCTGTTCCTCAATTCTATCTATTTTAATTTCTAGCTACATCTTTGTGTTTTTTCTTTAAAACCTCTAATTAAACATTATCAAAATTCAATTGCAGAAGACATCTCTACTCAAACTCCAGATTCACGAGGTGGGTTCCTTCAATCATAACTATTAATCATCTATGGCTAGTTGGCTACTATGACTCTTATGTGCTCTCTGAAATGAGTAAATGCCTGACATGTTGAATGTGTGAGTTACTGACCAATGTCTACATCTTTGAATTGCGGTTTCCATACTATGAACTTGTAGACCGAGACACAATGTACAAAGTTGGATATTTGTTTTATGCAATTTACTTCATCGTAAGCTTTCCCATGTTTCTGAGGTGAGTGTATGCCGAGGACTGAAACTTTTTGCATTTAGTTATCCAAGACTCTGGATATTTGGCCTTTAGAAGCAAAGTATCTCATTATCTCATTTGCATCTCCTCTACCTCTATGCTAAATATATGTATTTTCTATTGTGAATTTACTACGGAGTACTTCAGAATTGATGAGAAACCTACTGACAAGAGGGACTTAGCAAGGGTTGTTGTTGATGCTCTGGATCGGTGCTGCGATGCTTGTAACGATTATACTGGATTTATGGCGCATTTTCTTGGGACCAATAGTTCCACTTCCAGAGGAAAAGCAGTGTGCTCAAGCTGGGCTACCCTGGTTTGCAGATCATATAATCTCAGCTTAATTGAGATTATTCTATCGTGGAAAACTAGTGCCAAACAAGAAGAACGACAGTAGTAAGACTGTATGAGCAGAAGATACTTTTGTACCAAATTAGCCAATCTTGTAAAACCTATTTTTCAATCTATTGTCAATTTTGTTTCAATTCCCTTGCTAGCTTGGAACAATTAAGGATGCAGGCAGAAGATCTCTATGGCAAAAGCCAAGTGCTCGATCTCTTGCCCGGAGATTGTTCATCACCTGCAGCTGAAGATATGTAGTGTTTCATATTAAATGGCCATTTAAGACTATCAATTTTTGTCAGAATTTTCATCTTTTTTCAAACACATCCACAGTCAACATGGATAATGTAAAGACTAGAATAGACCCGGTCTACAATAACTTATTGTAGACCCAACCTTCTAGTATACCATACGAATGTGGTTATATCATACAAAATGTGATTATATTTCTACAAAAGTGATTATATCATCCTGAACTGTTATGTAATTGTATCACTCAAAAAGTGAATTTGTCATTATAAAAAGTATCAATAGTAAATTACATCATTCAAAAGTTGATTTTTAAATTTTATCATCCTAAAGATAATTATATAATCTCATTAAATGGTTTAATATGAGATTATATAGTTCAAAATATGACTCACAAAAAGATAATTATATCGTCTAAAAAAGTAATTATATCATCTGTGATTATATTATTTGAAAGTGTTAAATTTTGGGTCTACAATAATTTATTGTAGACCGGGTTTATACAAGACCAATTGCATAGATAAACGTAAACCCTTGATACAAGAACCAATACGTGATTGATTAGGGTTTCATAACTTTCATTAAAGATTTTGATAATGGATACAATTTTGAGTTGATATTATGCTATTGAAGTAAATTTGAGAATTAAGATGATTATTGTGAGTTTATGCGTCTTACCTCATCATTCTTTTACTGATAGCAGTAATAAGAATTTTCCCTAACCTTACATTGAAGGAGGGAGGAGGAAATTCTTATCAAGTAAGAGAAAAAACAACTGAGTTTTAGTGGATGTACCTGAATTGGAACATTTGTTTTACTTACTATAGTTAATCCAATGTTTATTATAAATATTTTTGTTTGTTAATGGCAATTGTAATTGTTTTGATAGGTGAAATGTAGTTGTATGGATGTGTACAAGTGCAGGTGCTTGGATCTTTGTTTAATCTTGGAAGATTAAAGCAAGGAATCCTGCCAAATCTGAACTACTTGCGATCAAAGGGGGAATGGAACTGACTGTGAACTCTTGAATTGTGAAGGCAATAGTGGAAACGCTCTTTCGCTGCGCATTACTCCTGAAGACATAAGCAAGTAGGGCACCCCACGAGCTTGCTGCAATCCTTAGGGACATTGGTGAGCTGCTAAACGGTGAGCTGCTAAACCATGGCTGCAGCTTCTGTTTTAGCTATGTCCCAAGAGGTTGGCCATTACTTAGCAAAGCTGGCGAATGACATGGATGAGAACGTTAAAGATCACGAGGATGCTCCTTATTGTGTCAAGGATATAAATGAAGAGGACATTGTTGACAACAGGGACTGATGTCAGAGCTTGGGTTTTAAGATCAAAGGATCTTGCTTTTGCAATTGACTTATCTTTTCTTGGTGGAGCTGGGCTCTATTTTGTTGTTGATTTGTTGGTATTTAGAGGATACTTTATTACTTTATATATCCCTTAAACTATTAGCAGGATGATTTGTGAGTAATTTTATTTAATCTTCCCTTTTTCCCTAAAATAAATTTTAGGTGCAGGAAATTGTTACAGGTTGAACAAATAAGGGAATGGGAGATATCTAGAGGTTGAACAAATTTTCTACTAACCACAACTTAAGCAGATGAAGAGGAGATAAACCGTTACCTTAAGCACCAAAATGTAGCTCAAGTATACTAGTATAGTACTTGGTCTACAGATGAAGAGGAGATTGCTGAAAAGTTTGAAATGAATTTTGCCAAGACGCTAACTTTGAAATTCCATAAATCAGTTTAAATTGTAATTCCTTACTTGATTCTTCAAGGGAAAGGAATGTAACAAATTCATATATTCTGTTACTAAGATTTCTAGAATCTGGGATGTTAGTTAGGAAGTTAATTAGCCTTTTAGCCTTCAATTTCAATTCAGCTGTCAAATTATATTTCAAGGCCTTAGCACTGAAGCAAATTTATACAATATAATGTGATCAAAACTAAACTTTCATCTGCTCCATCACCCACAGAAGTCAGGTTTTTGCTCCCAAGCAAAATTGGCTTTGCCACCCACACAACTTTCAAAATCTACACTCATGGATCCAGTCATCCAGTTGCTAACTACTGCCGGAAAGAATGCATCTGACTACCATATCTGATATCCAAAATATTGGAGAAGAACTTGGGAATATGATACCCACGATTGTTCGAACTGTTGAACATTAGGGTGTCCAGCCTCATAAACCTGAATATGTTAAAACAGTTGATAAGTTTTCCCAACAAAGAAATTAATCAGTACAAACTCTGAAAACTTGAGTTTAGTTGTGATTGTTGCATACTCGTTAAAGAATTTCAGCCCCGACTTATTCTCAATGGTGATGGAGACTACACAATCTTCTGCTCATTTTTGCATGTGTTTCAAAAGCATATTATTGCCAGGACACTATTCTTCCGTCATATTTTGTGCATCTTTGTATAAGGATTGGAAGAGAACTGTGGAAATATACCTCTCTCCGAAACTTGGGAATATGACCTGCAACATCCCAAAATTGTTGAACTTGTGCCAGGAAGCAAGTATTTAAAAACCTAAATGCATGAAACATTGATTCTCAGAAACAATAGCATGGTATCAAAGCCTCGTATTGTGAATAATGAGTTATTTTAGCCACAGAGTATCAAATACTCGCATTGCAGGGTCAACGACAAAATATTTGAGGGGTAGACTAAAGATAGCAAAGATGCTTATGTGTACATCATAGGCAATGCATTCTCGTCTAAAATTATTTTTATTTATTTTCTATTTTCCATTTGTCACACTATAAGGTCCGGTATTAAGGTGTAGAAATATTTTAATCTATACATGCATTCATGCTATATTCTATCAAATGTGTTGATGGGTGCCCTTGAGGAGATAGAGTTACTTAGGTTGAGGAACGATAAACCTCCACTTGGTAGTGTTTGTCCTAGTTAACTTTTCACAAAGATTTAGAACATAGGAAAGATCCAATCAGGAATAACTTGATACACATTGAGGGGCCGTTTGGTTGGGGGTATTCATCAAAAGGAAAGGGAATCAACTGCCCTTATTCCCTTTGATGACGTTTGTTAGGCATATTTTTCCATTCCCTTTACCCTCCCCATTCCCCAAAATTCTTCCAACTTGATTCCCTACCCCCCTAGGGTTTTCCACTCCCTTTCCTTAGCCACCACTACACCACCATACCAGGATTACCAGCCACCACCATCCTACCCTACCCCAACCACCCTTGTCGCACCTCCACCGCCTCTCATTGCCCCACCCTACCCTCCGAAAAGCTTTCTCCTCCCTCGAAAAACTTCCCCAACCCCAGCAAAACCCTAAATACCCCTCCCCTCCCCGTAAAACCGTCGGCCGCCCCTCCCCCCACCCTCGAAACCCTAGGGGAATGCTATTCATGGTATAATAATCAAAACATCACAACACTGAGGAAATCCTTTAATTCATGAACATAAAGTCTGTCTTCCCATCTCAATCAAATCATACTCTGTGTAAATACTATTTACATGTTCAGGCTTCAGCCATTCAAATTTATTTCAGAATTCACGAAAATTCATATTATGATCGGTGGTCAATACATAAAAGAATTCTAATTATCAGGACAAAGGACTCTTAATCCAGAAATTTTTTAATAATTATGTTAACATCAGTCCCTGCTGTTTTTTACAAAAGGCACTAACAATTTGCTTTGTATATTTTACAAAAGGCAGAAGACACTAAAGCAATTTTTTAATTTTTTTGACAAACACACTAAAGCAGGTTTTCCCTCCTAAACGAAAGAAAAATTAAGGGCTTGTTTGGTTGATGTAGGAAGTAAATTCTCATGGGAAATTCTAATTCATGGGAAATTACTTCCTTTATTAAAATTCCTAGGAATTACATAAATATGTTTGGTTGTCATGTGGGAATTTATAAATCATGGGAATTGTGAATGACCAAGGGAGGGGTGGGTAAGTAACTTCCCATGTTTTGTAGGAAGTGAAAATTCCCATGAATTATGACTTCCCCCATTTTTACTTTTTAATGTCAACCAAACAACATACCCAAAAGAAAATTCATGGGAATTTTGAGTGTCCATGGAAATTAAAGGCAACCAAACAAGCCCTAATAATAGACACATCGAAGATGTAATCATGGGTCTTTTTTAGTAGGCATTAATTAATATTACAGTGACATAATGCTTATTCTTTTCATATATAAATTAAAACATGCATGGCTAGGGAATTTCTAGTAACATATTTGAGCATTCAAGTACCACAAGTCCCTAATAACTAAATAAATCATATCTCTGCCTATCAAACCAACATTTAGCTGGCTGCCATAACAACCAGGACACAATTTAGCAAAACTCCTTTGCTCTTATAAAAAATACAAGTAATTGAAGTATGTTAGGAGTTCCAAATCAAAATAAGAAAGTTTGCTTACTCATAAATAGCTGCGCCCAATGTAGATTGTATCCCAAATTAATAAAGAAGGGAGTGGTGAGATAATAACACTTACAACAATTAGTTTTCCAGCATTTTCAGGCCTTTTCGCTATTTTTACTGCAGCAGCTGCTGCCGCTCCTGAAGATATTCCAACCTGCAAGCAAGAGTGTGATTCACCAAAGGCAGCCCTCTATTATTTTATTTTGATTATCAATGGTAGCCCTCTATTATTAAAAACTTACATCTATGGCCTTACTTTTTATTTTATTTCGATTGACTTGGGCGTTGATTGACTTTATAATTTCCAATGCAGTCATATTTATTTTAAAACTTGGGCGTTGATTGACTTATAATTTCGAATGAAGATATTCCAACCTACAAATAAATGTAATTTTATAATAATACAGAGGGCTATCATTGAAAATTTCCAAAATAAAATACACAAAATAAATGAAAAAAAAAAGGAATACAAAAAAAAATAATGAGAAGTCGAAATTAGGAGATTTAGGTGTCAAATGAAGAATTAGTAATCATTGACATTTTAGAAACACCCCTGAACATGTATCAAGAAAGAAGTTCTTATAAAACAATGTCAAAAATCGATAACATAACACTACCTCCTTTTATAATTGCAATATTTGAGTTTTCATGCTTGTCAATGCACATTTTATATCATTTTATCTCTAATTACACTTTAGTAAAAAAGGCAAAATTGGCCGCAACACTCTGAAGTATGGCTTAGGTGTACTGAGCACCCTAAACTTTGCGTAGTAGCCTAAACACTGCCACCTACGGTCTTAGGTGCAACGCATGCCATAAATGAAAATTTCCGACAACTTATTTCACTGAGAGGAGGTGAATCTTCACTCTCTAGATCAATTATGTAGTCTTCCATCCATTTAGCACACATGGTTTCACCTCCTCCGATGAAATAAGTGGCCGAAAATTTTCATTTAAGGCACGCATTGCACCTAACACCATAGTTGGTGGTGTTTTGGCTACTACGCAAAGTTCAGGGTACTCAGTGCACCCAAGCCATACTTCAGGGTGTTGCGGCCAATTTCGCCTAGTAAATATTATAAAAAGTTAATATATTGAAAGTATAAATTGAGACGAATTTAACCAGGCCCCACATGACTATTTTCCAAGCACATAAATCACAAAAGATGGTTAAAGGCGTGTGTGTTAATAGTGTAAATTATCAAACATTGCAATTTAAAAGAATGGAGTAAGTATGATATAGTCCTACTATGCTAACCGATTTCTTAGTTATACCAGTAAACCTTCCTCCAAAGCCAACCTCCTTGCCATTTCAACTGCTTCACCATTAGAAACCTTCAAGTTTCCAAAACCATACATTAGTGAAAAAGTCCAATTGATAGAGTATAAAAACATATTCCTGGGCTTCAACCATAAAAACATATTCCTGGGCTTCAACCATAAGCTTAAGCTTTTGGTTGAGATGGTCCACTAACATGGTATCGGGGCCAGTGTGACACAAAGGTCACGGGTTCGAATCTCATCCACCCCTCCTTCATAGTGGAATTAATTCGCACCAGGTATGGGTGGGCCTGTGTTGCATCCACATTTCAAGCCCAAAGGGCCTTTCATGTGAAGGGGAGTGATAGAGTATAAAAACATATTCCTGGGCTTCAACCATAAGCTAAGCTTTTGGTTGAGATGGTCCACTAACACCAATGGACTACATTGAGGCACATATGTTCCAATAAAATTGCTAAAAGAAAATTCAAAGAAAATATATCCAAGGGGTCAATTTATAAGCTAAAAGATGCATAAAAAAGGAGAGAGTAGTCAAGTAATTAAACGATTCAGATACATACAACTATACAAGACCAGAGAAATAATGATGCATTACACTTATGAAGTGTAATTTGGTGAAACTGGCTTATAGGTGAATAATAAAATTAATAGCTTCTGTAAGCACTTCTTAGCTTGTCTTCTTACCATATGTCCATCTCACTTGCATCCATAAGACAATTGAGAAATTAAATACAGAATCTATGAGATGTATGACTCCTAATTGTGGTATAGACAGAAATGGAACAAAAGGAACAAAGCATGACATATATTTTCTTTCCCTGGTATAGCGCCACTCTCACTATACACATCCCTTTCTACTTTTCCTCATGACTGGCAACACAGCCACTTATTTCTATTCTCATCTTCCCTAAATCCTTTTGCCCTAATTTTCAACTCTGCATTGCACAGCAGACTCAACCACACTGAATAATACCAATTTATATGGTGGTTCTAAGGGGTATACAAGACCTATATAACCCAAATACTCATTGTAGAGAGAACAAACCGCCAGATTTAAAAACTGTCTCCATCACAAAAGTTCCTAAATAAATTTAACACTTGTATTGACAGTACATATGGTAAGCAGACATAAAGTGCAGCAACGGTAATGGATTTGTATGTATTTTGCAAGGAAAATTAATGGTCATTATCATGTCAATGGAGTTCCACGCTTCCACTTACAAGCGGGTGTTTTTGTTCACAAATTTATTTACACACAATACCATAACTAAAATGGTAAAGGATGGTAATAGAAATTTGTAAAAAAAAAAAAAAAAAAAAAAAAAAAAAAAAAAAAGGGGAAAAAGAAAGAACGAAAGAAAAAGAAAAAGGTATTTGTAGAGGGACTATCATTATCATGCGCATTGGTATACAATCTTCTTCACAAAATTATTTATATAATCATTACTATTATCACTGTTTATCATAAATAACCAGATGGGCCGTAGGCATTAGAATGTTAAATTATAAGTTGTTGGAAGCAGATGCAAAGGATATAGAAAAGGAAGAGGATGTCTAGTGTGTGTGTGTGTGTGTGAGAGAGAGAGAGAGAGAGATGAAAAGAAAAAAAAAGCTGAACCATTTGGCTTTTACTCAAAGAAAAGAGGAGCCATGTTTGTTTATTACAAACAATCAAACGGGCTGCAAAAGTAGTGGAATGTTGGATAATAAAAAAATGGAAGCAGATGCAGAGAAAATAGAAAAAAGTAATAGGCTGTCAGAGATGTGATGGGGAAAGTGAGAGATGAAAAAAAAAAAACCATTGGCTTTCACTCAAAGGAAAAGAGGAGTCTTGTTTGGATGGATGACCCAAAATATTAATATTTTTTAGACATATATAACGATATCCTGCCCCTTCCCCCCAACCCCCCCCTTCTTTTGCCCAATTCATCCCATCACCAAGAATCATGTATATATTTACGCATTATTTTTAACACTGCATTTTATTAGAAAATTGATACTCTGCAACAGAAAAGATGTCGAAAAGGGAGGAAGGAGGGGAGTGCCAATGTTTCAAAAGGCACGTTTCTGCTGCCCAAGTGCTAAGAAAGATCTGAACGAGACACCTTTAATGAGTCATATTGCAGGCATTCATAAATAAATTCTACACAATGGCAGGAGACAGATTTCCAGCATGGTTTCATTCATGGATGTGCCACTGAAATCATTCCTAAATTCTCTAACTACCGAAGCTGGCTATTCAACATATACTTGTAATATCATCACAACTTACAAGATGCTGTGCTAAGAAAGATCTGAACGAGACACCTTTAATGAGTCATATTGCAGGCATTCATAAATAAATTCTACACAATGGCAGGAGACAGATTTCCAGCATGGTTTCATTCATGGATGTGCCACTGAAATCATTCCTAAATTCTCTAACTACAGAAGCAGGCTATTCAACATATACTTGTAATATCATCACAACTTACAAGATGCATAAGTCTTAACAATTTTAGTTTGTATGATTATACAATGAGGTCAGGCCCACATAAACTGATTAACCTAATTGTGATTTAAATACAGCATGTAACAATATCAAAAAGATACAAAGATCACAAGATAGATTAAGAGAATGAAGGGAAAAATGCAAGTGATAATACCTTCAAAACTTCATCAAGTAATGGAATATCCAATATACTAGGAACATATCCTGCATCCACATGATAAAATTGAGATTAGAGCGTTATAAGCGGAGGGGGAGTGGACGAAAAAAAGCACCCATTTAAATTATGGCTTGCATTACTAAAATAATATTAATAGATAACGTAGAAACACCATGGTGAAGATAAGGCATGAATCAAGGAAATCACCTGGGTTTTCTCCAGATATCACACCTCTTTCAGCAGGTTCTACACCGATAACCTAAGTATTTGTAACAAATTATCAATGTTGTCATGTTTGATGGGCAAAATAATGTTAAGAATAACAAAGTAAAAAAAAGTGGAGTATAAATATAAAATAATTGTAACAAAAGGTGACTTTTAGCAAATGTAGGCCTAACTAGTAACCAAAATGCATAGTCAATAACAAGTACCCAGGATGCTAAATGTTTAACTTAAATCCTCAGCAAGATATATGAATTTCAAAGACAGCATTACAAGCCATAATGATGAGGGTTTAAATTTTGTGGTTTTTCTACAGCTTAAAATTCCCATGATTTCATCCTATTTGGCAACTGTCAAAATAAGCTTTGAGCCTTAGACCTTCCAACCGGGAAATGACTCAAACGATTGCACCATTGATTCAATGACTTAAGATTTCACGAACAAACCACTCATTCACTCAATGTTAGTTGTTTCCTTTTCTTGCAACTACTTGCATCATTTTAAGTCCTTAAGGTCATTGTAATTACCAAAATCACACAAGTTAGGGGGCATTTGGCTTGTTCAAGGGGCAAAAGAAACGAATATAGAAAGTAATACAAGGAGAAAGGAAAGAAAAACCCAAAATTTTCAAGTTGCTTGCTTCTACATAGAAAAGGGAATTAATATTTACAGCTCCTCTCCCTTCCTAACAGTCACCACTTCTGTTCTCTCTCTTCTTTGCTATCATCACTTTCCTTCTCACCCTACCTTACCCACTGTCAGTACCACAAAACTCACCATTAACCAATTTTCAAACTATCATTATCGATTAGCTGCAGTAGACCACAGTTGTCGCCATCAATTCAACTGTCACTGACTATTATAACTGTCAAAATCAACATTATGGGAGTCAAATTTATATAGAGGTTACAGATTTAGGATGCCTGGCAAGTAATTTGATGGTGAAGGTTAAGTATTGTTCGTGGTGGATGGCAAAGAGGCGGTTGCGTCAAATTACTTTCTCTCTTACTTCAGATTTTGATGGTGGGTTGTCAGTAAAAATGATGGTGGTCATGATGTAAAAGCAAAGCCACAATGTTTCGGTTGGGCCGTATTGCAACAGATTTTCAATTGTCTGAACCGACATTGTCCATATCAACTAGGCATATTTCAAAAACCCATGACCTCGTCTGAATCAAATGTTCCAACACTAAATCACCCCGCACTAAACATTACATCCCTTGTTTCACTCAAAAGCTAATTCCTATTCATAGAATTAGCGAAAGATTCTCCATGTCTCCCCACTTGTGACTATAATCACTTACTATTCTACTCTAACTATAATAGTGTACAAGTATTATAAAATCCTAATTGATAATACTATTAAAACAAGTTTGAATCACGACAACCATGACATACAGGCCTCGATCAATGCATCATATTTGAATCACGACAACCATGACATACAGGCCTCGATCAATGCATCATATTTGACCTGCAACACTACAATTATTTCTGCGATCATAATTGAAACTATATTTTTGAAACCATGATGGTGGGTCGATTTTCATGGTGATTTAAAGGTTTTTCATGGTGGTTGGGTGCCTTTTGTGGTGGTTTAGTAGTTCTCACGGTCAGGTGGTGGGCTTAGGTGATGGAGTGGTTAAATGATGCAGTAGGGTGGTGCTGGTGGTTGATGATGAGTGGTCAAAGTAGTGGTTAAGGTTGGTCAAGGATGTTTGAAGAGGACTTTGAAGTTTGAACAACAAATGGATTCAAGGCTGCTGTTTCCTTTCTCAGATTCAAACTCCCAAAAAATAATGTCCATTTCTGATAATATGCTACTGACCTTAATGTCTTTGTTCACCATTTTCAAATAACGTCCAGTGCCAGTGACAGTTCCACCGGTGCCCATTCCAGCGACAAAGATGTCAACACTACCCAAAGTATCTTCCCATATTTCTGGACCTGTAGTTTCAAAATGGACCTGCAATAGCAAGATTTATCAAAAAGCTAAGAATGAATTATGCAATATAATATGCAAAATCTAATTATAACAACAAGCAAAAGTAATTTTGAAAATACAAAAAATGACCTTGGTATTGGCAACATTATTGAACTGCTGTAACATGTAAGCATTTGGAGTGTTTAAAACAAGTTCCTCAGCCTTCTCAACAGCACCTTTCATGCCTTTTACAGGATCTGTTAGAATAACTTCAGCTCCAAATGCACGTAAAAGAATCCGTCTTTCAATATTTATATATGCGGGCATTGTGACAATTAATTTATACCCCTTTGTTGCTGCTGCAAAAGCAATTCCAATTCCTGTATTTCCACTTGTAGGCTCCACCAATATGGACTATTATATGCACAGCAATAGCAAGAAATATAAGAATGTGAAAGAATAACAAAGCCATAGTGAACAAATAATCACATGGAACAATTAGTGGTTACTTGATGAGAAGTATAATTGACTCATGAAAATTGGGTAATGAACTGTAGAATAACACACCTTTCCAGGAGATATGGCTCCACTTTGTTCAGCCTCTGATATCATAGCACACCCAATTCTGAAAGATAAATTACAGATATGAAACAAAATTCGATGCAGCTAATATTGTATACAAGGAACAGACTATTGTGAAATTCATTCATGAGACAGTAATATATGACATGACCGCTATGTTGATCACTTTCAAAACAAAGATAGTGATCAGGAGTATATGAGTTGCATAATTGCGACTCAATAACTTAATTAACAATGCATTGAAAATTGGTATATAATGTCACGAAGAATCAATTCCCCCAAATATATGCAGGATGACGACTTTAAAGATAAAAGGTTATAGCATAAGTCACATGACAAGTAAGTTCAAGATTTGGAATAGATGACACACTGAGAGTCCAAAATATCATAAGCTAGAAATATCAAAAGCAAAGAAGTGAAGATTTAACCTGCCTAATAATTAAATATGCTTGAAGTTGGCTGCAAATCCAAAGGATGAATTTTAACAGTGCAAGGATAGACTAAAAGACTCGGCCAATGCTAAAGGCACACTCTCCTATTTCTTGAAAGTTGAAACCTCTTGTTTCTTATACTTTACTTTATATCAGTAAATTATAACAATAAATAAACAAGCAAACAATGATGAATGTCAGATCTACAATTTCTACAAGTTTGGTTTGACATGCAAATTTATGGGAAGTTGAGTTTTCTAAAAAATGGACGCATGTGGACTTCTCTGTTGACAATAACATAGGAAATAGAAATTCCTAGGAATTCCATCTTGCACAAATCGGAGGAATTAACTTACCTGCTCTCACTAGGTAAGTGGGAATTCCCATGGGTATTAGAAATTCCCACATCCAACCAGACAAACCTAAGCATTTTCTAGAAAAAAAAATTTCAAAGTGTATTGGAGATTCCTACAAAATCATAGTCCCTACATGTAATTAAAACAACCACAAGAGTCTTGACACCTTTTGATTGACATGCATTATTGCATGGCTCTGCATAGGTTTCACATGAGGTTTTTCCTCCTAGAACTAAAAAATTCAGACCAGCAAACCTTAAATAAGGTGAAGTGAACATACCCTATATGTTGCTGATAGATGTTTGGTTTATGCATATGAAAGGAGAAGGAAATCATAGGGGAAAGAATAATTAATTCTAAAACTCACATACGAGCATTTGCATGTTCAAAAATAGCTAGAGTTTCAGACAATTACAGAGGAAAAAGGCAAGAAACATTGTATCCAAAGTAGCCAATAACACTTGCAATAAAGATACTAAGTTGGCAATATACCAATGTTAGTACAGTTGGTTCCTAATAACCAGAGACTGCAAGAACAGGTACAACTATACAAAAAAAAAAATCAACATTCGAGAACAATGCTCACCTGTCCTTTACACTTCGGCAAGGTTCCATGGATTCAAGTTTTGCAGCAACGTTTGCTAAACAGCCTTCAGTCACTCTATTGAGATATATCATTGGTGTGCATCCAATCAACTACTCAAAAATAAAGAGATTGATTGTTAAGTACAATATTTAACTGCAAGATACTAGAAAATTAAGCTGCAGGCATTTTCAGTGCTATAGCTTCCAAAGCGACTGATCAGGCTGGAGCAAATGCACCACAACAGGGGCAGAAGTTATAATAAAAACAGCTATTATTTTCCTGAAAACATATGTAACTACAACAAAGAATATTTGAAAATAATATGATTCACTGAGATGTGTGATTATTGTTGCATTTTACACATAGTACATTTTACAAGCTAAATCTATTTACTCACTCTTCACTTCTTTTCAAGCACTGTCTCACGTATACGACCCTCGGACATGAGAATGGCACTTAAACACTTCGTTTTGGACTAAAAGTATGCAAATATCTATAACTGCATTAGACACTCAAACATCTACTAATTGTATCCAAGTAATATAGACCTAATTTACACCTCCCAAAAAACAATGCTAAAAGCTATTACTACTCGCATTTGTTTTCCTCACTTCACAGCAAAGTCATGCACATAATCAATAGTTGCTTGCGAAAACCAATGTCACATTCCACAACAACAACAATATCATAGCCTCAATTCCAACGATGGGGTCACCTCATATCGCATCACTCCGAACCCATCACTAAATCAGACACATATAAGAGTTACCAATATGTAACAAATTCAACATTACATAGAAACTAATTCCAAAATAAAACCGAAAGCCAAAGACGGAAAATAAATAAAAAAAAATAGCCACCACCTGAGTGACATCTTCCGCTATATTGACAGTATCGAGGTCCGGTGCTCTAGCTTGAGTTTTACTGTGGGTGACCAAAGAACTCCTACATTTCTTCAATTTAGAGGGTTTTAGAGTTAGAGTAAAGGGTTTTAGAGGTGTTGAAATTGTCAATGAGTTCAACCATGGTGTTGCCGCCTTGTGCTGTGGTTTGCAGCACCAAGAAATGGCTGAAGATGATGATATAGCCGCCATTGATGATACAGGATAAAGTTCCTGAACCACATTTTGAAAACAAAATTACTTTACTGTATTTTTTATGGATAAATGAACTGCCACCATTTATGAAGTTATTTGTATAGCATAATTGAAGAACATAGATGAAAGAAGAAAGTTGTTACCTCTTGCAAATTGGACTTCCTTTTCTTCAACTGTGTGACTTATCCAACTTCTCAAAGTCTTTCAAGTATCAACATAGGCGTACTTTTTTTTTTTTTTTTTTTTTTTTACGAAAATGTTTGTGTTTTTTTTTTTTTTTTTTTTTGGTTTTTTTTTTTTAAGAAAAGCAACATAGGATCGGAATCTAGTATACAAGTCGGGCTTGGGTCGAGTTTAATCAAGTCTCACGTTGAGTTATTTTAATGATTTCTAAGGTTTGTCATCGGATCAAGACTAGTGCGGATTGAATTGATTTGAGGATCGAAAATCTATACTATATATTAAAGTAATCACCGGAAGGACACTTGGCATGATTGTATGAAAAATTTTCCCTCCAAAATACTCTTTTTATATATAAAAAAAAAATCTACTAAAAAAATTTAACGACTATTTCACCAAATGCCACTGAGCAATTTAAAAATTCACCAAATGTCATCGGACTTTTCAAAATTCACCAAATGACACCGAGTTTTAAAAAAAAGGGAAATTCTCAATGGTAGCCCTCTACTTTTGCTTATTTCCAATGGCAACCAACTTTTTTTTAATTATCTTTGGTAGCCATATACTTTTAAATTTGCTCAACCGTAACCTTAATAATGTTTTTCCATTAGAATTCTGTTAAAACTAACTATATTGTAAACCAAGGTTAACTTACAAAAAAAATAAAACACTTTACCATCCACCCTCTCCCCCTTCCCTTCCAATCCTCCATTGTTGGTCTTCTTCATTGCCGCAACTGGGATCGATTGCTAGCTAGGTCTGATCGGAGCACCTGGTCTTGCCTTGCCCGTCGTCGCAAAGGCTTCCCCCACCAAAAATACCCCGAAAACCTCCCCTTCCCAACTACAAGCCGCCCCCCACAACCCTAATTCCCCACCTGAAACCAGCCCAAACTCGCGTTTTAGGGTGGTTTAAAGGTAGGGATTGATTAGAAATTGGGGGCGCGCGACTCGTGGTGGGTGGAAGGGGTCGTTTTTCGGTGGTGGGAAAGGGGAGGGACGAGTTCAGGGGCAGGGGGAAATTGAAGGGGATGGGAGCGGGAAAGGGGATGGGTGGGGGTTGGGCCTCTTGGGTGACAAGGTTGAGTAAATCGACGCATAGGGAAGGCCTGAGTGTCGGCCGGAAAGGCTTGGCTAAGCGTCGGTCGTCGGCAGTGGAAGAGGGGGGGGGGAAGATGGCGGTTGGGTTGGTGTTAGAAGGGGCGGTTTTGTTTTTTTAATTTTTAGAAAACTAACTATGATTAAGTGTTTTTTATTTTTTTTATTTGAAATACTTAACTCTAGTTGCGTAATAAGTTATATTTAACGGAAAAAACATTAGTAAGGTTACGGTTGAGAATTTTTAAAAGTATATGGCTACCAAAGATAATTGAAAAAAAAGTTGGTTACCATTGGAAATAAGCAAAAGTAGAGGGCTACCATTGAGAATTTCCCTTAAAAAAATTCACAAAGTGTCATTATTGTCTAACGGAGTTAAATCTGTTAATAACTAGGGCTTGATCATGACACATGTGGACACATGTCAGTCAGCTATTGGTTTTAAAAAATTAAATTAAAATTTTTTTTAAAAAAAAAAAAACAAAAAAAAAACTCTAAATCCTAACCCAAACCAGCCCCCACTACCATAGCCACCACCCAAAGCCAACCGCCGGAATCCCCTAACTTCCCGCTGGAATCCGCCGGAACCCCCTAACCTCCCTCTTGAATCCATTGACCCCACCAAAACCACTGACTCCACTTAATCCCCCTTTCCTCCTCCCGATAAATCACCCCGTCCACCGCAAGTCCGCAACCGCCCACAATTCCGCCTGCCCGACGACTCCAGCACCTTGACGACGACCTACAGAACTTCGCCTACCCGAAACCCCCGCCGTGATCCCTACCACAGCCCCCGCAACCACCTCACGCACCAACACGACGCATCACCATAGCCACCGAAATCGACCATGGAAACCCAAAATTGAACCTGACTATGGAAACCCTTCACCCTCAAACGGCCGAAATCGACCATGGAAATCCCGAAGGGTCGATTTCTATGGCCGATTTCGTCGTTTCAAGGATGGAGGATATGAGTGGTTTTGCGCGGTGGTTATGCTGTTTTCAAAGCTCGTGCTCGCTGTTGGTTTTTGGGGTCGGGGCAGTTTGTGTGGGTGGTATTGGGGGTCGGCGGTGGGTTAGGTAGGGTGTTAAAGGGTCGCCGGCCGATATTTGGTGGTTAATGTGGTGGCCGACCGTTTTTCGGCGAGATAAGGGGAGGAACTAGGGTTTGGCGGTGGTGGGGGTGGTTGGGAAAATTTTAGGGTTTTTGTTTTTAATTTTTTGTTTTTTTAAAAAAAATTATGAATTAAGATAAATGGACCAATTATATCATGACATGTGTCATGATTAACCCCTAATAACTAACGGAGTTAACGGCCATTGGTCATTAATGGCACTCGGTGAATTTTTATAAAACTGGGTGACATTTGGTGAATTCTGAAAAGTCCGATGGCATTTGGTGAATTTTTAAAGTGCTTTGTGGAAATTTGGTGAAATAGCCGAAAATTTAAAGGATAGACATTATTAAATTCAAATTTAAAAATAAAAAAATGTTACATAAGTTATGTTGTGAAAATAAAGGAAAACATAATAATTGAGAGAGAATTAATTTAAGTATATTATTCCATATATTAGAGGTATATATACATAGAATACAATTAGGGTTTGCTTAGATAACAATAAACCCTAGATTTAGAATATTCCGGAATGATATAAGGATAATGGATATCCACACAATATTTTCATAACACTCCCCCTTGGATGTCCATTATCGAAGATTGTGTCTCGTTAAAACCTTAATAGGAAAAACTCTATGGGATAAAAACCTAATTAAGGAAAAAGAGTACAAAATTCTTCGTAACACGCTCAAAATGCTGCCTCATAAAAAACCTTACCAGGAAAACCCAATGTGGGACAAAACCATGGTCAAGGGAAAAAGAGTGCAGCGCGTATTTTCTCCCCCTGATGAATACATAAGTAACATAACTTGAGATCTTCTAGTCCCGCATCAATGAATCCAATATAGTTGAATATCTTCTCATATGTGGTAAAATAACATTCGTTGATCTTCGATCCTCCCAAACTGAAATTACATCTTCAAATCTTCAAGTCTTCATGTGAACATGTGAAGTGTCTTTATTTCATCATATATACATGTGTTTTTCTCTAATATCATTATTTCAAATCTTTGTTTAATAGTTGATTTAAAAGTTAAACTTATACGGTTACAACTTCTTCTGGAAGTCGTGAATAATAGAAATTGATGATTATTATTTGATCAAACATTCATTAATAATAATTTGATGACAAAACTTGATATTACTAATGTCGTTCTTCAATCTCATATGAATTATAATATAACGCATGTAATTATATACATTGATCATGGTTCTTCTGGACCATAAGAAAACATCCTCAAGCATAAGTATTCCATTAATATTCTTCAGATATTTCATAATTGACATGATAGTTCTCTTGTAGATATAAATAGTAATTCTCACTAACTTTTATATGCTCAATCTTCAGGTTGAGATATCAATGGTGTAGTCACATTGACAAAGAGTTTGATAATAATTACAATATTCCGAATATTAAATTTTTAGGGCTATAAATACGTACGTTGCACATAAGTTCTTTAGGAACTTTTCTTACATGATATTAAATCAATGTCATCAACAATTTCATCACAACTGTGAGCCCACTGAAATATAAATATCTCTTTTAAAGTTCATATAAATGTTGTAAATACGCCTTATTATATTTTGGGCAAACATTCATACATACCATAATAATTATATATAAATTAGTGCATGCAATATGTGATATATAGAAACTATGATTAGATATTGAACAAAATATACAATGAGTAATGCATGTAACAACTTCCTACATATGCAATGAATAATCCATTAACCTATGACTCACACGTGCATGTATATGAACATACATAAGACTCGAAATAATGCATGACACTGTACAGTGTGGATTTAAAAATCCATATTTCATTGGACTTCTAGTCCATGATAAAATTATGATCATTGTCATAATGCCGACATCAAAATGGACATATATTCAGATCCCTTATTCACTAGTCCATTCTATCATGCATATGCATTATTTATCGGTTCCATATACCGGTATCATCATGTAATTTCTCATGGTACAATTTTAATTTGCATGCTATTTTTGACATTGATATCTGAATACATTTTTCATTTGGTACCATCATTATTTTTTTTATATCATATAGGTCATCTATTGTAATAAAAATTCAGATATCTATACCACTTTTTCAGGTATTTATACAACATGATATTTATATACTATATATATTACACTATTAGAGTTAACTGCACTATCTATCTTGTCGTATATCATATCCATTAGACATATCTTTATTTTAGAACCGATCATACAACCTACACTTCAGGTGTAGTGATTCAAGTATAATTGGCAAGATTTATCTCAATGTATACACATTATTTATATGACCAAAATGTATCTTCAACGCTATGCAACATGAGTCATAACTGAATACAAATTAAATCATAAATGTGCAAAATATATAGACAAAAGTTGACATATAACTTTTCAAAGTACCATTATAGGGATCATAGTTATTATTTATTTAATTTTTAATTTTTCCAACTTTTAATTTGCTAATTCGTTCTTCTCCCCCTAAGTTGGTAAAATATCTCATTTATAGGGGCGTTTAATTCTATACCAACTTAGTAGACAAATTTTTACTAATAAAATTCACTTCATTAGGAGGATCACAATCAAAATTTATTTCTCAGAAGATTTGTAATAAAGAAGTTCTATCTCTTTTGGAAAACAATTTTAATGAAGAATCATTTCTTCATGAACTTTACATTGCATGTTGTAGGGAATAATTCAAGCATTAACCCCTTGCTTGAACCCCACTGTGATCATACACTAAAGTACGGTGGCGTCCAAAAGGGAAGAAGATAGAGCAAAAGAGTCGCCAACAAGTTTTTTAGGAACTTGTAAACCGT